CTACCGGCTTGAACAAGCCGGTATTTGTCAGGAACAGGTCTAGCGTCGATGGGTTTCCAGCCGGTGAGATGAATGTTTAAAACCAAAGGGAGTACAGTCCATGCTGCGACTGGTCGAACAGCAGACAGCCATTCTGGTTCTGCTGGTAGATCCACCAGGCCTCATGGCGAGCATTTAGATCTTTTCCAACTACGAAGAGGGAACCGAAACGGGTGATGGTGGACAGGTCCTTCTTGAATTTAGCCGCAAGTCCACTGCTGGTGGCATACTATCGAAGGCAGTAGACGGCGATGAACTGGACGTATCCAGTCGACGACTCCACCTCCACACCAAGGGCCTCGATGATAGAGGTGCGGATATGGGACAGAGTGTGGTATTTTATTCCTTTCTTGACGACGACCGCAACACCCCCCCCCCCCCCCCTTGGAGCTGGTGCGATCAAGTCGAATAATGTTGTGGTCAGGCAACCAGAAGCTGTCGCCGGACTTTAGATGGGTTTCGGTTAGAAGGCCGATGCTGTGCTTGCGGAGGAAGTCGGCAAGCTCAATCTCTTTTGCTCTAACAGAGCAAGCATTCCAGGTGACGATAGTTAGCGGTTTAGACGTCATACTGGATGATGAACTTACCAAGCTCTTGGATCTGCTCGGGCTTATTGGGGCACTTACGAAGAGCACCGGACGTGTTGACGAAAATTTCCATCAGTTCATCCGCTGAGAAGAGATCAGGGTTGTTGTTTTGCGCTATTGGTTGTTTCCAGAATCCAGGGGGGATGGAGAGCTTTGGCCAGCAAAATCACCGGAGGTTGCTAGAGCAGAATGCACCCGCGAATTCACTTGCCTTTGCTGAGGAGCACTAAGAAGCGGGAAATCCTCCGTCCGAAATGCCGGGACTTTGTCCTTCTTGCGTCCTGGTTGGCTGTTAGTTGCCACTTGTTTTCGGATGCGTGTTATACGCCTTTTGCCTTCCTTCTCATACATATACTGATAGTCTAGTGGTCAAAGTATGGGTCTAATGATCGTTAGGTTTTTGGTTCAAATCCAGTCTGTTACTTTATTTTATTTTGTTTTATATGTTTTGGGTTAAAAACTTATAGTTAAACTCATAAATTTAGTTCATGATGTTAACTCGGATGATTCACGATTCTTGTGTGCGTTACGCAAACATAGCTCATGATATCATGAATATTATTCATGGTGTATTTTCATAACATGATAATACGCTATGTTCATGAAATCATGAGTCATTTATCTCATTTCGGATTTTTGATTTGTTCCCGTGTGAGAAGGTGCGTCTTTGGAGATCTACCAGAACTCTTCGAATGGTGCGGAACATCACAATTGAAAGAGGACTCTTGTGCGAAGAGTAACTATGTATCATAACTGCATGGAAAACTTTACTTTTCCATTGTAATGAGGTACTACGAAATGCATTAAACAGTTGCAGTGATTATGATCCGAACAAAGGAGGGAGAAAATCAAATAGGTAATGAACTCTTGATCGCTGGGAATACGTGTGAATATTTGAGGAGAACCAAGAGGCGAACGTCTATGTTTTTCCACTTTTATCGCTGTGGACCAACTGTAAACTGTAGAGGGAATTTATATATGAAAGTGTAAGCAGCTCGTTTTTGTTTGCTATTCAGATGTTATACTTAATTGTCTTAAAGATAAACCGTCCAGCTCAAACTATTGCATGGTTAAGAGGAGTGACCATCATCATCATAAAATCAGTAACTCCTTAGCAGTTAGAAGCAATCCATTTATTACGTTAAGCTTTAAGAAGGGAGCGGGTTGTTTTATCACAAATTTAAAGTAGGTGTTCCTAAGTTAAGTGGCTTTTCTAGTCTTTCACAAGCACCAACAAATTTTAATCGGTTAAAATAGTAAGACACCGATATAAACCAATATTTATATAACCTTTTGGGCCGAAAAGCTTGAGAACAATCTGAAAAGGCTGCTGGAGATAGAACTCACTATCAATAAACAAAAACAGACTCTACTAGGCCACCGAGCTCCTAAAACCATTACAAAACAAAACGACTGGCGGTCGTTTTATCCCATAGACGTGAAGCTAATCAAATTAAATTACGTCCACGAAAATATACAACACTTTTTTTAAACCAGATCGATCATACGAAAAAACCTGACTTCTCACACCAACCGAACAATAGATCACATGTGATCGAGATCATACCGGGTTACAAACAGGAATGTGAGGGCACGGATCTTAACACCTTGTAAACCAATAATATGTAAAAAAAATAAAGGGTTGTGTCCTAGACACGACCGCAGTACTCTAGTAGCATGCTCATCGCAAATCGGTTGTAGAAACTGCTATACTTCTTATTACAGTCATAAACAGGTTGCTGCAACTTATCGCGACAGAAGTGTGCTGCTCGGGTATGACGGAGAACCACGCAAAATTGATGTTTGTCATGCATTTTTGACTATTATACTTATTATTATGAATGGGGCGGGACAGAACGTATCTTTTGTGCAGAATATGGAAAAAGGATGGACTTTGGATGTTAATCTAATTGCATATATTGAGGTACCAGATAAGTTTTACAGTCAGTTGTTGGTAATTTACCAACATAATATCATCGGATGTATGTCTCCTTTTAAGCAATTGTTTTGAAAATTTTGGCTTTTGTTTTTACTTATAATTGAAGTTTGCTTAAAATGTATTGACCGGAAAAAAAAGTGATCGTCAAATCCATGTTTTTTTTTGAGTTGACGTTATAGACGAGGGGAGGGATATTTTGAATATCCAAGTCTCATTCCTCATTATGTGACAGGTGATCACACCGTGATCCACATTTATCCGCTAACTTGATCCTGCTTGTTGCAGCACAAAGTGCCACGCCGTCCGAAGCGGTAATGAGCAGAGGCACGACAGAAGCGCTGTTTTATTTCTTTTCAGGTTCAAGCAGAACGATGTGCAACCGCACCTGATAGGATTTCCTGCGGTTTTTTATGAATGGGGCGGGACAGAAAGTATCTTTTGTGCAAAATATGTAAAAAAGGATTGACTTTGGATGTTAATCTAATTGCATATATAGAGGTACCAGATATGTTTTACAGTCAGTTGTTGGTAATTCATCGAATGAATGTATCCTCTTAAGCAATTTTTTTTTTTGAAAATTTTGGCTCTGCGTATAAAAAAATGTTTTTACTTAAACGGGCTGTTCATAAACTACGCAGATATAATTTAAGGGGGGGGGATCAAGAACCCCAAAAAAACTGTCTACGTAGTTAATGAACAGCCCCTAATTGTGGTTTGCTTTAAATGTATTTCCCGGAAAAAATTGATCGTCAAAGTCCATGTTTTTTTAGGGTTGTTGTTAAGGGGGGGGGGGGTTGTTAAGGGAGGGAGGGGATTTTACATACATAATTTTTCAAGTGTCATTCCTCATTGTGGGGATCATGGATACGCCGTGATCCACCTTTATCCGCTGTCTTGGTCTTGCTTGCTGCAGGACCTAGTGCCACGCCGTCCAAAGCGGTAATGAGCAGAGGTAGGAAAGCAACGCCGTTTTATATCTTTTCAGTTTCAAGCAGAATGATGTGCAACCAAGTGGTATTCGTTTATGATGACTGGGTTTTGGGAAAACGTTTAGTTCATGAAAACAGTGATGAAATTATCATTTGCGCATTTTTCAAAAGTTTTTTGATTAAAATTTGGAAAAGTATTTATTTCACCAGATTCGTTAAGTAATATCCTATCGATTGGCGTATTTGGAATTTAATGTCATCTATAAATGACAAAGTTACAAGCGTTCAAAACCTAACACTATTTCACCACGAAATGTTTTGATTTGTACCCTAGTATAGTCGACAAAGACGTAGTTCTACTTCAAAAAAAAATGATTGAATCAACGTATCACGTGCTGGGCTTAGGACTATTAAAAAATGCATCCGATCCTATCAACAGCACATCCTTTTTACAAAACGTTCCAATGTCAATCGTCCGTATACCAAATCATGACAAGTTTTAGGAAAGTGCACTGCTGGCGCTGCAGTGCACCAGGTTTTTAAAATTATCTCCAGTTTTGGCATGAACAAACCATTGCCTAATATTATAATTAGTAGGGCCAAAAACTGTTACCATTACGAATATAAGATTGTGTAACTCATGGTTCACTTACCTTATGTTTATAGTAACATTAATTGCGTTCTCTTATTAGCTACTCCGCTGATGAAATAAGCTTAATAAGTTTAATTAAACTCACAGATATAAACGCAATTAGGTGCACTTCCTGTGCAAATAATGCCCCCCATTTTCAACTAAACACCGGCTTGACCGACTTTGCGAAGATAGTCCACAAACAAAACATGCAAAATTCGTTTGAAAGAGTACACTTGCTGCCATTCCTCGAGGAAAAGAAATTAATTACAAAAGTTTCTTCTGTGGTACCCACTTTGTTCCGTTCTTTGTTTCGTTGCTGACCGGCAATTTTCTTTGACCAAACTTGTACCGGCTGGTCTTTTTCTCTATAGGTATTTGTAAGTAGCGTTCGCAATTGCAGCCATCGTGGACCAAGTTCACCAAATCATGTTTTTTGTTTTCTTTTCTCGGAATAGAAAGAACAGAGTCTAATGATTAATAATGAAATTCAGTACCTCACTGGTGGCCTGCAGAACAATCTTTCGGTACATCCAGAATCGCTAGGATGTTCGACTAGGCCGAAGGATACAAATGGCTTCTGGCTTGACCGGTCAGGAGGTAGATTATGCATCGTAAACCTAATTACGAGAACAATGCTTTCTTTGGTGTGGCACTGTATAGTGAGGAGTGTGGTACGACGTCGGCTCAGCTAATTCCGGGGATAGTTACAGAATCGGAATTTGATTACGCTTTGTGCTGTTATCGGATTATGACTATTCTTGAGAGCTTCATCAATCTTCGTATGACCTTTGACCCGCCACAACAGACGCTTTTTCAGGAACTGAATAAATTTAGCCATATTGTATCACGCATATTGAAACATGCTTGCTTACCTGTTTAACATTCGTACGCATTCCCATTTCAGCACCTGAAACAAAACAAATTGAAAAATAATTACTTTTTGTGGTAGCTTCATTCAATGCTGCTAACATTTACTTTAATAACAAAGTTCAAAACCATTACAAAGCATGTAACCACCAAAAATTCCATTTCCTATATGAGTGTAGCACAGATAGAGCATGGCCGGAATCCCGTTTATCCCATTCTCACTTCAGCGAAGGATTACAAACACAGAAACTTCCGCCGTGTGTCCCCATCGACCAACCAACCGACCGGCTCGGTAACCGTACGGAAGCAAACCCATAAAAACCTCTGACAATGAAAGCGAAATTCCATGTAGTATCCAACAAGAGGGGCCGGATCCGCATAGCTCCTCGCATACCACATGATGTGGGTCGGATTTTGGTCCTTCGCTAGATGACATGGCCCGACGCCGTGCCTGTAGGACGCAGGACGACTAGTAAAAACCTGTGCGGGTGTGGCCAGAATGTCAGGATTATCACAGTCAAATAAGACAATCCGGTCGGTGGGTATTGCGAAAAGTAGCAATAGGTAGTAGTCGGTAGGGGCAGAGTGACCGTCTCTTGGCAAACATTTTCTCTTTTTCGAGACACTGTCAACACCGACCTCCACATACTTAACTGGCTTGATTGGAGATACACGACAGCGGCTCGTTAAATGTGGTGAGTGGTGCTATCCGCTGGCAAAGGTGGGAAGGTTAATTGTTATTAACTGGCCGTAAAAATCATGTGTTAATTATTGAAACCGAAAGCGAAGCTGTGTTTTGTTGATTAAAGAACAATATTAGTTTAGATGAGCCGGTGGACTGTGTGTATTTTCTCATTATGTGAATCCAAACATGAGTCGCAAACGGTGCTACTGGCTGTGTGAGGCTCACACTATTTTGGGAGGTGGGGGTTTGGTTTGGTAAAATGCGTAAATCAGCGTATAGATTTTTGTTTAATCAATTTAAACAATGTGGCGAAATGAGTTTATCAGCAAGGTGGGTTTGCAGGAAACCGTGCTTATTGTAGACTCTGGACACGCTCACGTTGATTAAAGATCGCCGCCAACGAAATTGACTATCTAGAGGTTGAACACGAAAAAATCCAGACACGAAAATATTGTTGGGTTTTACAAATGCGTTTTATTTTTCATAGTTCAATGTAACAGCTATACATTAGTAGGCTTATTGTACGACTGTTGTTTCGGTCTTCCTTCTTACCATAGGCCATTGCTCGAACTTTTCTTCGTACACGGCCCATAATCTTTTGCACGAGCACTGTTCCCACTTGTTTGGCTAGCAAATTCCATTTCCGCTTGAAATCCTTCAGGTCACTTGCAATCCCACCCTTTTCCTTCAGTATGTCCTTCACAATTGACCAGTATTCCTCAATTGGCCTTAGTTCCGGAGTATTGGCCGGATTCATCTCTTTAGGAACCGCTGTGACGCCATTTTCGCTGCACCACTGCTGGGTGGAATTTGAGAAGCGACAGATTGCCAAGTCCGACCAGAATAGGGAATCCACCTCATGCTGCTCCAGAAAAGGTAGTAGTCTCTTCCGTAGGAACTCCTCCTAGTAAATTTGCTGGTTCATGGTCCCTGAAGTAACGAAAGTTTCGCTTTTCAGCCCACAACTGCAGATTGCTTGCCAGACAAGTAACTTTTTGGGGAATTTATACTTCTTTTGATTTTACATTCACGGTCAACCGAGGTATAAAAATTCCTGCCCAGGAATTTGATCGAAAACTGCAAGGAGCAGATCGACCGGAGTTATCGTTTCGAGCAGGATTGAATCGCGACGTGCTTACTCCGGTGAAGCCATGATGAAAACAAATAAACTTATAATGATAACCAATGCCTACCCGAGCAAAGTCGGTTGACAAAATGAAAGCAAATCGATATTAAAGTGTGCAGTTCCTATCATAATAAAAACTCATTTTGATTTCAAATGTTGCGACATAAGTCTGATATCATATTGTGCTTTCATTATGCAGTCAAAACGTTTTAAATGAAAGCAACTTAACTTGAAGTTCTGTTGTTTACGTCTTGTTTAAAATTTAATTGAAATTCATCTATCGTTGAACTAATGATTATCGTTTATCTGATTTGTTTAACACATTTTAGGTCATTCGTGACTTGCCCGCGGTGAGATTGGAGCCTAAGTCTTTCAGCTTGAGAAACGTGAATGGTAACCATTTACTCTAGGCTCGTATTCAGTTAAACATTATGAATGCAAAATCAGTAATCAAATTGATTTAATTGAAAGCAGGATTAGTTTTCCGTTTGCTTAAACAGTGTAAAATTTTGCTCTCATTTTTGCTGTGTTAACCGTTAAGTCAACCAAAATGAGATCAACTGGAGTATTCAAAATAAGTTACATCATAACAGCAAATTTTGATTTCAATTTGATCTTCAGCTTTGCTCGGGTACTGTCATTATTTACACTCTTACCTTGATTCAGCGAAATTTTTGAAAAAAAATTACTCAAACAATGCTTTAATGGCAGCGTTTTTAATGTGTCCGGATTTTTTCGTGTTTAACCGTGACAATACGTTGATTACTCCGGTAGTCCTCTAAGCTCTACGGTCATGAGATCTAGACTGTAGTCGTGGAATACCAACTTGACCTTGGTGTTTTAGAACGGAAGGTGTTGCGCACTATCTACGGTGAAGAGCAAACGAAATACGGAAAGAGGAGGAGGCAAATAATCCGTGAGATGCACCAGCTGCGGAGAAAACCACGAATTAGCCTCACCGCAATAATTGGGTGACTTAGAATATCAGACGAAAACCCAGAAGAAGAGTTTCTCTGCAGAAAACGCGTATCATGACTAGGGGATGACAAAATGTTGCCTGTGCATTATAACGGGTGTTCAATAAAAAATGAGAATGATTTCAGTGCCGTCCAGCGCTCTTGTGAGAGAATCGCAATTTTTTTTTACTAGCTGTATGACTGAAAAAATTCTCATTTTTTATTGAACACCCGTTAGATTCAACATGGCGTCCAATGATTATGTTTTGATTATTTTGATCATCATTAAACACCAGTAAAATAATCTACCAGGCTTCCAATCATTCAGTTTATTGTTGCTCAGTACTCATGGCTTTGAAAGAATATTGAAAACCGATCGAAACTTTGATTTGAAAACGAAATTCCATCACTAACCCCTTGCCCCATTGCACCAGTTTTACGGTAAACCAACCAGAAACAGGGTACAAAATGTAAAGTACAAATATCAATGTTATGTTTTCTTGAAGAATAATAACCTTAGATAGTAAGTTTAATTAACTTTGTGTTTAGTTTGTGTGTGGGTGCAAAGAGCGCTCAATGCTTCTCAGTGAATTGTGCTGAATGAGCTGAGCCAAAAAGTTGAGCACGTTTCTTCGGGACCTTCAGGTCTTAGAGTTACCTCTATGGTATTACTAACATAATCTCTCTTTTAGCGAAACACTCACGCTAATTTGAATGTTTGCACTTATCATTTAAGAATAATGCAAGGTAGGTATTTAAAACGAAAACAAAATGGCGAATGATGGCAAATATGTTGACGAACCATCCGGCTGCGCTGACGAAAATGTTCCAATCGATAACTAATTGACTCTGAGAAGATGGATAACCGATAAATCTCTAGTAGTGGCAGCAGCAGCACCTCAGAGAGTGATGCTAGTGACTCCGATACCGACACACACACGACGAAAAAAAAAAATCTAACTCGGATTGTGCATCGATCACAGCTGCATATTCATCGAGTTCGCCATCGGTTAGCGCATCCTTGAGCGCATCTACCCCGAAAGCAATGCCCACCGAAAACGCAAACCAGAACACATTGGAACACACCATTTAACGCCGAACGGATCGAACGTATCCTGAAATCCTGATAACAGCTGGAACTTCTCTAGCGAAGTAAACGCTTGTGCAATTGTCCGTGGAAGTTCCTCCTCCAGCATCCGCTGGTACCACATGAAACCGTTCCCAGGTGGCATTGCCGCCAATAAAATGTGGAATGAATGTAATAGTTACATTGGAAACTTCGAGATAGGTGCGCCCAAGGCGACTACTGATTCATAATTCAGCCATGTTGGATTTTTGAATGGGGCAGTGACCGAGTTTGTTCACAATTTGCTCTAAAACCTCACTTTTCTTCCCGCGATTTCCTCGCCCATATAGTGAGAACCCTAACAAACAAGTACCATAAACGAACTGTACCCCGGATGGGAAAAGTATTCCACAAATGGTTTGGATGATAACCCTGAACACGTTGTTAAGCTCTCTTTTGTATATACCCACCATGGGTGCGCCGGGATGTGAATCAGGGGATGGATATGGCTGTCATATCGCTTAAGTTTGCTGCGTACCGAACATCTGCAACGTTGTCAGCGGTACCATGGTATAACAATGTTGTTTTGATGTTGAGTACGTGTATTCAGCTATATGTCAAACCCCTGATGTGAATGCCATGCAATGAGGTACACTCAAAATAATCTACACGTTGAAGCTATGTGAAAAATTACGTAAGCTCTCACTTTTTCCTCTCCTCTCAGTTTTACGTGGCTCACGTAGAATGATGTGATGTTCCTTGAATTTCACATGGAGTTCCTTTTTAACACACCTACATAATCAATGAAATGTACATGATTTTCACATAACACTGAGTCTATGTGCGTTTCACGTAAAGCTTTTGTGATTTCCACATCTAAAAAAAGAGTGGTACTTAGAGGTACGTAGGTACACTCAGAGCGTTGCAAATCATGGCGGCATCACGATATCCTTTGTTCGGTATTTTTGAAAGATAGTGGCAAGATGTAAGTTTTTTTTTTTTTTTTTTTTTTAAGTGCGTTTATTTTTCCAGGCTCATTTGCCGTAGCTTTGCGGAGCCGATATTCATTGTTTGGATGACAAAATTTCTTAAAACTAACGTTAGTAAAACGGGGGCCGATTACTCGCGGCTATCTCGAGGTTAGGGGTAACAAATTGTAACAAATGGATGGCAGGGTAGGGATTGAGAACACAAGGTTTGGAGAGCA